CATGCCTGGAATGCCTGCTGTTGCTGACCTCCCAGTTCACTACTGACAACTAGTAGTGGGGCTTCTCCCTGGTTGGGCTCTTTGAGGGAGAGGTGCTGGCCTGTGGCTCCTCCTCCTCCCCAGCCTCTTCCACCCACTGTTTTCTCTGGCTGTGTCTATTGGCCTGTAGCCTCTGAAGTCTTTGTAGAGCTCGTGCCTCCACTGCAAGAGCTCTGCATTCTGGAGAGCAATGCTGCCTTCTACCCAGGAGTCACAGTCTGTACAGGCCAGCCTGTTCTCTTATTGCAGAGAGCTGGTGATACCCACCTGCAACCTCTCTGCCGAGCCCCTGACCCGTGGGAGAACAGCTGGCTCCAGTGTGGAGGCCAGCGTCCGGGCCAGCCCTCAAACCAGGGGGATGACTTGCTCCAGGCTGGCCATATGGGTGCACAGCATGGCAGTGCCCTGGAAGGGCTTGAGGACATGCACCATTTGGGAAAGAGCCAGTCATTGGAACTGATGCTGGCCTCCTCTTCCCCATGCAGGATGGTCAATGAGGAAATGACATCCTGTACGGTGCTCTTCTGCTCCACCAAATGCGTAGTCATGGTGTAGGTGGAATTTCTCATTTCCCCTCCCCCCAGCCTCTCATGCAGCAGATGGGCAGACTTGAGGCTGCACAAGAAGTCTTGATCAAGGACTGCATCTTGAGGGGGGCAGTGTTCCAGGTGGCCTTGACAGTGCTCCCCAGCACTAAGCATCCTTCACCATCAGGTGAAGCATGTGCACCAGGCAGACAATGCCCTTGAGGTGTGCAGCCTTCGCCTCTGCCAGCATGACACCAACGTCTGTGACCATGTAGACATGAACGATGTTGTCACTGCCCACCCACACCCTCAAGCTTTCTGTATCACATGATAATGATGTTTTGTGCTGTGTGGTCTCTATCCATCCACTGCACATGGAACAGAACCACCTTGTAGCCTGGTGGCAGGCCTGTCCCCTCCTGGGGCCTGGACTATGCCCCGACAGTCCTGCTGGCTGCTCCAGAGGTCTGCTGTGAAGTGCACAATTCTGCCTTGTGATCTGGAGACCTGAGCCTTGACCATCACCACTGCAGCCAATGAAAGGCTACATCCTCCACAAGGGAGAAGGGTTGGCCATCCACAGAAATCATCTCGCCAACGACAAGGTGAGTGACTGCTTCCTGGACCCTACACATAGCCCTTTTGACCTCTTGGAGGGTGGCCCACCTTGATGTGCCACCATTTCTTGGAGGGACCTTCTACTCCCTCTCCACTTCTCTGTGCTGAGAGGGAGTGGGCCTCTTTGCTACTGCTGGCTTCCACTCTTTCCTCCGGCAGCAACATAGTTTGGTGCACCCTCTGCAGGTGCCTGTGGAGGATGGAGGAGGTCAAGTGTTGGGGTAGCTTTGCACCCCTCCAGACATGGATGTGGCCCACCTGGCACTGCCACACAGGAGTCACTGGGGAATGTGCGGAAATGTTTCCAAACTGTGGCCCCAAGATAGAAGAAGTTGGGAGGCATAGCTGCTTTTTGTCACTGACACAGAGGGGGTGTACTTGAGGTAGGAGCAGCAACAGGGAGTTGGGATGTGGAAGGAGAGGATGCTTCTCCCACTATCTGAATCACTGCTGTCACAGAGTCCTCTTCAGAGAGTGTTAGCAACTGCTGGTGTCTCTGGGCAGTGCTGCTGCTAACAACTGTTTTGACTCTGTGGAGAGCCCCAGGGCCAGGAACAGATCAGGTGCAGACTCCAAGACAACTGGTGATGCCCTACTAGGGCTGGGCTCCAGTGGCCTGGCAGGGTTCTGTAGTATGCAGGGCTTGGAGGACTTCTTTCCCCCCATGATGAACACCTTTTGCATGGTCACATCCACTTTTAACCTCATGGCACACAAAGGGATGGGAAGGTATAAATGTGGGAGACCTTTTTTGGGGGTACATAACTGGGACCCCAGAGATGTAATCCACCCCCAACTTGGAGAGACTGTAGAGGACTTTATTTCTTTATTATGCAAGACAGTTTGCATCACTAATTACCTAAAATGGAAAACTCTGATTTCCACTGGCCTGGTGTGTCTGGGTTGCCCATCAAACTGTCGTCATGGGGTAACTTTCGGGAGCCCCTGTTGGAAGTCTTGTCATGTCTGTCTTTCTGTCCTTGCAAATCTGCCTTTGGAGAATTATGGGTGGCCCAGCCAGCCCAACACAACAGGTGTTTCTTTTTCTCCGCAAAGTAGAATAATTCATTGCGGGTTGTGAGGGGGGGGGGCTGTGAGAATTGTGGGCATTAGGCACATTTTCCTTGTTTGTCTGGTGTGCCTGCCAAGCTGTCATCTTGGGGTAACTGAGGATCCACTGTCAGAAGTCTCTTATGTCTGCCTTTCTATCATTGCATCACTTTAAAATGAAAACTCTGGTTTGCACTGGTCTGGTGGGGCTGGGATGCATGCCAAGCTGTCATGGTATAACTTTGGGAAGCCCCTTTCAAAACTCCTGGGATGTCTGCCTTTCTGTTCTTCAGAACCTGCATTTGGAGACTTGGGGGGGGGGGGTTGTGGGCATAAGGGGAATGCTTGCTTTGCTTCGAGTGTCTGGCTAGGGGGAGTCTGCCCAGGTGAAGTTTCTCTGTGAGTTTGGTGTCCCTGGCTTGTTCTTGAGCCATTCCACAGACTCCTGGCTGTAACTGCAGCAGACATTTCTGCAGCAGAGAGAGCACTGGGGAGACCTTTTTTGGGAGTCCATAATTGAGACCCCAGAAATGTAATCCACTCCCAACTTGGAGAGATTGTAGAGGAGTGGGTGGCAGGGTGAGCTTCCCTGTGTGTTTGGTGTGTGTAGCATGCAGGGGATCTATTCTATACACTTTTGAACCTGTGCGTGACATCCCCCCCAAAAAAGCATTCTCCTGGCTTGGCCGTAGTCCTGTGGGATTTGCAGCACCACAGTGGCACTGGTTCTGCCGGGCTTGCAAAAAAATGTCCCCCCCCCATTTCTATTGCAGAGCTTCTCTGGGATTTTTGTTCTGTTCTGCGGGGCTTCTATTGTCCTTGCTTTTTTGCTGATCCTTTCCTCCACTGGAAAGAATGGAGAATGGGGTAACCTTCTTGGGGGGGGGGTTGTACCTCGAACCCTGTAAATCCAATTGCCACCAAACGTGGACAGCAGGTAGAGGAGAGGCAGCTGGAGATCCACAGTGAATTTGGTGCCTCTAGCTTGCACGGGATCTATTCTATACACTCCTGAATATGCTCCTGTCATTTTCCCAGAAAGCACTTCCCTGGGGGCACCTTCTTTGTGAGGCCATAATTTTTACATCCAATCCTTACCAAGCTTAAAGGGCACATAGAGTCAGCCAGAGATTCCCGGTGAGTTCTGTATCTCTAGCATACTAGGGGACCATTCTACCACATCATGAACGTCATGAACTGAACCAGTTCGTCTAAGCATCAAAAAGTTGCAATCTGTGCACACAATGATCTGAACCAAGCCACATTTTCCTGATTCGTGCCCATCCCTATTAGGAAATAATTCTTTACTCAATGAGTAATTAAACTGAGGAATTCACTGCCAGGGGAGCTCCAGATGGTCACAAGCACAGATAGGGGTTAGACAGATGCATGGAGGAGAAGTCCATCAATGGCTGCTAGCCACGGTGGATTGAAGGGCACCTCTGTGTACAGAGGCAGCAAACCACTTCTGATTTGGTTTAAACAGGCTGCTGATGGGGTTTATTACTGGCACACTATTGGGTATTCAGCATATTTTAAAGACATTTTACTTTTTTTAATTGAATGCTATGACCAAAAAGGTGAACAATTTTGAGATTCTGTGGTTGGAAGAAAAAGAAAGCTTTAAATCTTGAAAAACACTAAGCATATATAGGTAAGGGAAACAAGTCCATACATGCCCTGCTCCATTAATTTTGCTGTAGTGATTTAACAATGTGATGATGATGCACTACTGCTAGAAGAGCAAGATTACGTTAACAGCTGAAATTATTCAGTACAAGGGACTGCTGGCAATTCCACCTTCTTACCCACCCCAACCCACTTATAGGATCTCAACACATAGTGACAACGCTCATTCAGTGTGTGGCAGCAGGGATCAAGGAAAAATCCATGCTGGGGATTACTAGGAAAGGAAATAAAAACAGAGCACCAGTATGGCAATGCCCTTGTATAGGGTAGCTGCATTTGGAATACTGTGTAGTGTTATGGTTTGTTGTTCAGTCGCACAGTCGAGTCCGACTCTTCGCGACCCCATGGACCAGCTCCCGCCAGGCCCTCCTGTCTTCCGCCATCCTCTGAAGTTTGCTCAATTTCATGTTCGTTGCATCTATGACACTGTCTAACCATCTCATCCTTTGCCGTCCCCGTCTTCTTTGACCTTCAATCTTTCCCAGCATCAGGGTCTTCTCCAGTGAGTGCTCCCTTCTCATTTGGTGGCCAAAGTATTTGAGCTTCAGTTTCATTATCTGGCCTTCCAGGGAACAGTCAGGGTTGATTTCTTTTAGGATTGACTGATTTGATCTTCTTGCAGTCCAAGGGACTCTCAAGAGTCTTCTCCAGCACCATAGTTCAAAATAATCTATTCTTCGGCGCTCGTCCTTCCTTATAGTCCAACTCTCGCAGCCATACCTATCTCAAAATATTTATCATCTTTCACTGTGAAGCACAGAGGTATGTCATATGATAGTAGCCATGTATGCGGCAAACATATATCATAGGCAGAAAACAATTTCTCTAAACACTTATAAGATTCAGAAGAAATACTCAACTTTCCATATGGTACAATTACAAAAAGAAAAGGACTACATTTTTTAGGACCCCAGTTAAAACAACAAGAACAACAAGAGACCAAGACAGCGTTAAAGGAGAAAGAGACATGTATTTAAGTATTGCTGCATGAAATTTTTGCCATACATCTTTTCTTAAAAATATACTTCAAATGCTACATTCAAACAAGACAAGGCTTGAGCTTATTCATATATGAAAGTATTAAAAGCTCTCTAGAGATGAAGGGGATTTAACTAATTATGAAACCATATATACTATTGTTTAAGGCCCCACTAGCCAGTGTAAAACTTCAGTGAAATGTGTAATGTAAGACTTCAGTGTACATAAGTGTAAGAGTTATCGTTTCATTATAACAATGGTTACAGAATAGCTATTGCAACCCAAAGGATGAATGCATTCATTGCATCATTCACTACAAATGAGAGCTTAAACACTTCAAATGCAATATCAAGGCAAGTTAAATACATTGTCACTGCAAGTGTTATTTTATTGCACATGTCACTAAAGACCAAAAAAAAGTGCATAACTTGAGGGAAAAGAATGCTTCTGAGCTTCTGAGACTTTGTACTGAATAATTTGCAGAATATAAAACTCTGAGACAAGCTTATTTACCATACTGTGCATCCTTATCAATTTTAATCACAAATAATATTTGTGGCAAAGTACAGTATTTTCACAAATGAATTTTACTTGACTATTAAAAGCAAACAAACTGGGATATAAATCCAATGACAGCCAAAGTGCCCTTTCCAGATATATACAGCAATATTTTAGCAGTTATTTCCATATTTGTAAAGCCTCCCTGAGTCCATATTTAACAACATTGTAGGTTTGCTGATACTTACTCAAAATGAAGGGGGGGAAGCAGTTCCTTGAGGGATAGAAAGGCAAGATTTGTGCTCACATATTGTTGTTTTTTAAGGACCCTATTGTACTTTTGCATCCAAGAGGTTACTGGCCGTTGTTTGTCCACGCCCATTTACACAACCACTGACATGTCTTAATGATTCAGCTCCAAGGTAGGCCAGAAGAAGATCGGTGTGATGAATCAGCAGCTGCATTAGGTCTTCAGCTATACTCTCTATTGTTGAATATCGTACCTTTTCAAAGTCAAAAACGTCCTTCAAGAAATAAAGAACCTGATCCTAAGAAATAAATCATAAAAAGTTGACTAAGTTGGGGGGGGGGGGGAATTTGGAAGTGCATAATACTAGTGGATTTCTTTCTGGTCTTTGTCTTTTAAAATTAATTCACATTTAATCCATCAATATAACAAACCTGCATACCTTAAAGAAGCTGCAGAACTCATACAAAGAGTTCTGAGGACCCAGAAAGCCCCATGCCAGAACAGGACTAATATGTTCACAAATAGCATAGAAATGCGCAAAGAATCCATCATGTACCTGGGGATATAATTAGCACAGAAAAAGTAAATTGTTTTTGGCCTCTGACTATCAATCTGTTAAATCAAATTAATCTGTTCAATCAAATTGGTCATTACAGAAACTTCTTCAATTACTGACAGCAAGTGCTCAAAGTGGGAGGAAAAAAAGGAGGAGGGATACTTCATTTCAGACTAGGTGATACTCAGTTTAGCCTCATTCAGTCACCATCTTAACGATGCAATTCTAAAGTCATTTTTCTGGGAGTTAGATGCATTGAGTCAGCTTGAATAGGATTCTCAGCAGACCTGCTTTGGATTGCTATGTTAGGTATAAGTAGTGCACAAAACATTTGATAAGAAGCTCAAATAAGATTCATGGAAGGTCAGTCCAGACTAGGGATGTGCATTCGGTTCGGACGAACCGAATGCACCCCCAAAAATGGCCCATTCGGACCTCTTTTGGGCTGCTGAAGGCCGATTCAGATTCTCTGATCTGAATCAGCTTGCCGCTGAATTGCCGCCGGATTTTGGCGGCAATTCGGCCCCATTATATCCTGTGGGGCATTGAAGTCAATGGCGAAAACATTGGGTATATTCTGGGGGCTGGAGGGGGAGGGGGTTTGAGGGAGAGGCTCCAAACTCACAGGGTAGTTGCTGGAGCCTCTCCCCAAGATACCAACCAAGTTTGAAGAACATTGGACCAGGGGGTCCAATTCTACAAGCCCCCAAACAGGTTGCCCCTATCCCCTCCATTGTTCTCTATGGTGGGAAGAAGTAACTTTTTTTCCTACCATAGAGAACAATGGAGGGGATAGGGGTAACCTATTTGAGGGCCCGTAGAATTGGACCCCCTGGCCCAATGCTCTTGAAACTTGGTTGGTATCTTGGGGAGAGGTTCCAGCAGCTACCCTGTGTGTTTGGAGCCTCTCCCTCAAACCCCTCCCCTCCAGCCCCCAGAATATACCCTATGTTTTCACCATTGACTTCAATGGCCCATAGGATATAATGGGGCTGAAATTGACATTCGGCTGGCCAAAAGACTCCAGAATTGCTGGTACTGACGAAACTGACATGTGGGAGTCTTACTGCCAGCTGAAATTGATTCTGCTAGATTCTGCCGAATCCGAATGGACTGAATTATTTTCATTCTGTTCATTGACCCTTTATGACAACTGGTTGACCACTCTGTGAAACAGGATACAGGACTAGATCTTAAATGGTCTGATCCATCTGTTAGGTATTCACACTTTGAAATCATGCCAGCCAATTATAAATCACTGCCAAGAATGAAGGTACTATAAATGAAGTAAAAAATATTAATGATATCCTGCAAATCTCATTTCCATCTTCTAGCCACCAGATCTGCTGGGTCAGGTTGTCTTCCAGCAGAATTGTCATTAATCTTATCACATTCTGCTCCATGCATAAATGGTGGGAACACTGCATCTTCTCTATACTGATTATACTTTGACTTGATGCCACAAGTTTGCTTCACAACTTACAAACAACTGTTTAATTGTGCACATTAACATTTGCTCCAGTATAAGATCTCAGGTCTTTGAATGTCCCTTAAGTTTACATTTATAAAAATGGTATTTGTATGGTTAAAGCCTTGGGCAGTTTATAATTGCACAGGAAGCACACTGCAAAAACAGATTACAGTTTCAAGTTGTGTAAGTAGCAACTGACAGTACTAAACATAATCACTATTTCTAAAACTACAAAAATCAGAAGACTATTTACCTTTATTTGCTGCTTTTTTTGTTTCAGAACAGACCAACAACTTGAAGCCACAGCCTAAATAAGAACATTTTAAAGTTACTTGTGCGCCTATTAACCAGAATATAAATTAATCAATAGCAGTTTTAGCACAGCATTTTTGTCAAACTCTGTCTTAGTTTGCCTTGATTGTAAGGGGGAAATTCCTGATGGGTGGTGGCGGTGAATGGCTGAGTGTGGGTGAATGGCTGAGTGTGTGAATTGCTCTCTATCATAGGTGTGTAATTCTTTCCAAGTTCCCTCTCTGTCTAGGGGTGACCTTGAGCTGCACTGTGACAGCTTGCTTTTCTAGATAAAGAAGACATACATTCTCAGGTGGTGGGGTAGTGAGTGCGGTTGCTAGGCGGGATGGCTAAGATGTGTAATTGGTTGTATGGAAGGGGGGGGCTTGTTTGAACTGTCTATATCTTTGGAATTTCCCGCCAGAACCTCAGTTCTGACATGGTACTAATCTAGCCTGGGATATCAGTATTCTTCAATAAACAAATCACTGCCAAAGAGAGTGTTGTTGAGAGTTACTCTAGCCAGGAGTCTGACAAATTGTCAGAACTGCCTTTCTTCGACCACTGCACCAGTACAGTGATGGCAGGAGAAGGCAAAGACATTGGGAAGGGAACCGGTACCTGAACTGAGATCCTGGCCTCGAATAAGGAGAACAATTCAGGGGATGGAGCGCCAGCTGTGAAGCCAAAAAGGGGTGCAGGGCCCCGCAAGAAAGGCGCCAAGGTGAAAGATCCCTTCCCAGACCAGGAAAGGTGGGAAGACCATGCTTGGCTTTGCACCCCGGGGTACCGGGGGCTGAAGAGTGGCTCCAACCTGAAGAGGAGAAGGACCTCCCGGGGGGGGGGTTGGGGATGGAGAGGATACGAGTGGCTGGAGTGCTTGGAGAGGAGGCAAGCACTGAAAAGAGCTGGTCAGAGCTCTGGGATGCGATCAAAGAATTAAAGAAGGGCCTCCAGATGCTGGTGCAGAACCTCCCAGAGGTTGTCAAGGAGCTCATGCAGCAAGTGGGAGGTGAAGAGGAAGAGGAGGAAGAGGAAACTGAATGGAGTCCCCCTCCTCCACCTATACCAGTGCTGGCACCTCGACCAACCCTGGGGCTGGGGCAGGAGTGTCCTCAAGAGGCACTGGAAGCGACATTTGATGGAACTCCGGTGAAGCTGGCTTTCTTTGAGATCCAGGTGTGAAAGTTCCTGAGAGAATAGGGCCATACCTACACGTCAGATGAGCAGCGAGTGTACTACATTGGTTCTTGGGTGTGAGCTCACGCAGTGGACTGGTTCGTGGGGCTGTACAACGTGGGGGCTCCGGAACTCAGTTGTTGATGCGTTCATGCAAGCCCTATGCTGGCAGTATGAAGACTCACTAGAGTTGGAGAGGGTGCGCACTCGGGTTTGCGGGCTGTGGTAGGGATTCTAGTCAGTCTGGGAGTACTCCGACGACTTCGAAATGGATGTCGCAAAGCTACAAGGCTGGCCCAAAGACATCCTCATTGTTCTACTGTGCCAGCCTTAACCCCACCATCCTGGAGAAGGCATTGGCTCAAGACAACCCTCTGACCCTCAGCAGCTGGGTACAAGTGGCATGTGCGGCTGAGAACCGACACAACCTGGTCAAGATGTATCACCTGAAGAACCCAGGGGAGGGGTCACTGAAACCCCCATGGCTCACAGCTACCGATACAGGGGGATCGAGAACAGATGCACCTGGGGCTGTGCCTGAAATGTGGGGCCCTGGGGCACTTTGCTGCAAACTGCCTGGGAAGCAGGAGCCCTGAGAAGGCATGAAAGGAGGAGACCAAGATCAAGAGACCAAAGACCCTGGGGACCCACCTGAAACTGGCTAAAGCCCTACAAGTGGAAATGCGAGCAGAAGTGGATGGCACCTCGTCCAGCAAGGGAGATGTGCCTCAGCCAGTGGGAAAAGGCCGGGACCTGCTGTGAAGTCGCCAGCCAGTAGGTCTGACTATCTCCGGCGCAAGACTTGGTGAGACCCTCCTCTGCCCTATTTTTTGTTACTGTCACAATAATTAACCCTGAGGGGGGCCCACATTTGGGTGAGGGCTATGATTGACTCTAGGTTCACCGAGGATTTGATCAGCCCTGCAATAGTCACGGGCTTGGGGGCCAAGGTGCACAAGTTACAGGAGCCCATTGTATTTTCCCAGATGGATGGGATGCCAATGAAGGCGGAGGCTTGCCAGTATTGCACTGTCCACCTACCGGTGGGTGTGGCCTCCCACTGAGAACTACACTCTTTCGTAGTAAACCCCTCTGCAAAATTCTCCATGGTGCTTGGGAGTCCATAGCTCCAGGCTCACAATCCGTACATCCAATAGAGTACGGGGACTTTAACATTTCTAGACCCCCGATGCAAGGAGCATCTCTGGAACGCTGAATGGGGGAAAGAACCTCAATCCATGGCTGAGCACATATGCCTGGCGTGTTAAGAATTAAATCTGATCCCACCTGAATACCGGGACTTGGCCAGGGTCTTTGAAGGGGAGGAGGCAGATGGATTACCTCTCATCGTAAAACTGACTGTGCAATTGAAATATTACCAGAATATAAAATGCCCAGAGAGAAAATGTACTCCATGATCCCAGCAGAAAAGGAGGAACTGCAAAGGTTAATTGACAAAAACCTGGCCAGGGGATTCATTTGGCCAGCGGCTTCCCCGTTTGCTGCCCCCGTGTTATTCAGAAAGAAAAAAGATGGTGGGGCTAAGACTATGCATGGACTACTGAGGGTTAAATGCAGTATCCATGTTGAATGCCTACCCCCTCCCCCTCATCAAAGACTTGCTAGCCGAAGCCTCGCAGGGCCAAATCTTTACTAAGTTGGACTTATGGGATGCCTGCTTTCATGTGCACATCAGGGAGGGGGACAAGCATAAAATGGCATTCAACACCCTGCTGGTCCAGTTTGAATACTTGGTGATGCTATTTGGGTTAGCGGGAGCACCAGAGGTATTTATGAACTTAATCAATGAAGTGTTGCACGAACACCTGTACAAAGGTGTCCTGGTTTATCTGGATGATACCTTGATTTATTCAAAAGATAAGGAGTCACATGTGAGACTGGTGCGTGACATCCTGAAAGCCTGCTATGAAAACCACCTGCCAAAATTTCCAAGTGTGAGTTCCATAAGGAGGAGCTGGACTTCCTGGGATACTGCATCTCAGGGAAGGGACTTGGTATGGATCCCTGGAAGGTGCAAAACGTGGTGGGTTGGGAGCCCCCACAGACCCAGAGGCAATTACAGTCCTTCCTCAGGTTCACCAATTTTTACCGCCCGTCAGGGCTTTTTTTTGTAGAAAAAGCCCAGCAGGAACTCATTAGCATAATAGACCATACCCAACAGCAGAAACTCATTAGCGTATTAGGCCACACCCATGACAATACAGTGCATTAGCATATTAGGCCACACACCCCCATGTTACCAGAAGTGTGGTCATCCAGCCACACCCACCTTTTGCTTCTTATTCTGTTTACCTTGTTTTGGTCAAAACCAAGAGCTTTTTTTGTAGCAGGAACCCCTTTGCATGTTAGGCCACACCCCCCAAATGTAGCCAATCCTAATGAATTTCGGCTGTTGGGTGTGGCCTATTATGCTAATGAGTTCCTGCTGGGTGTGGCCAACTCAGGAGCCAGCCGGAACTCCGTTTCTGTGCGTTCCTGCCCAAAAATAGCCCTGCCGCCCGCTCATCCCGAATTTCACCCAGGTCTCTCTCCCCCTCACTAACTTCCTAAAAACAAAGGGGAAGGGGCCAGAGAGCCAAAAACTGAGCAGCAGGCTGCTGTGGTCCCCTGAGTGTCAACAAGCGTTTGAGCATCTAAAGACTCTGTTTACATCGGAGCTCATCTTGCACCACCCCAATGAGAGTAAGCAATTTGTGGTGCGAGTTGATGCTTCAGATGTGGCCATGGGGGGGGAGTGATCCTGCAAAGAGGGGAGGATGGGAACCTGCACCCACTGGCTTACTTGTCCAAAACGTTTTCTGCCACTGAACGGAACTGGGCAGTATGGGACAAAGAGGCTGCTGCTATTAAACTATCTTTGGCTAGAGGGGGCCCACGTCCTGTTGGAGGTTTGGACCAGTCATAAAAACCTCAAAGCGCTAAAAGCCCCTAGGCACCTAAACACCAAGCAGTTGAGGTGGGGGGAGTTTTTCTCTAAGTTTTGTTTCACTCTTAAGCACCTCCCTGAAAAGTCAAACTTCCTGGCTGACACTTTGTCCCACCTCCCACAACATGCAAGCAGATGGGAGGAGGTGGTGGATACCATGTTCACGCCTACCCAGTTGGGAGGGGCTGTGGTGACTTGCAGCTGAGCAAAGGGAGGGCTTCCGGCAGGAGGGGAGCCCTGGGCGGAGAAATGTAAGTCTGCCCTGACGGATGCTGACCGATTGGAGTTTGAGAGGGAGGGAACCTTAGTACAGAAAGAAGATGGTTACTGGCAAAATAAACTGTTTGTCCTCATGGCCTTGCAAGAGGAGATTCTGTCGATGGGCATGATAATAAACTGGCTGGACATTTTGGATATTTAAAAACCTTGAATCTCCTACGACAATTTTGGAGGCCTCAGATGAAAAGGGACATCTACTAGTATGTCACTTCCTGCCAAACATGCTTAATGAGTAAGAAAACCCCGGGGGGGTTGCTGCAACCACTAGAAACCCCTGACTGGCCCTGGTCTGTTTTTTCTATAGATTTTATCACAGACTTGCCCCCAAGCCATGGGAAGACTGTGATCTGGGTGGTGGTTGATTTATTTTCTAAGCAAGCGCACTTCGTTCTGTGCAAGCAACTGCCAACTGCTCAGAAATTGGCCCAAATGTTCATGCAGCACATAATCTGGCTTCACTCTTGCCCTGCAAAATAATTTCAGACCGGAGTTCACAGTTCATTGCCAGTTTCTGGAGGGAGTTATTGAAGTTATTGGGAGTGGAGCAGGGACAGAGTAGTGCCTACCACCCGAACACTGATGGCCAAATGGAACGCACCAATCAGGTGTTAGAGCAGTTCCTAAGATGTTTTGTAAATCACCAGCAAAGTGACTGGGTGGACCTGCTCCCTTTTGCAGAATACAGTTACAATAAGTCGGTGCACAACTCTACTGGAATGTCCCTCTTCAAAGCGGTTAATGGATATGAAGGGGGCCCCCTCCCAACAGTCAATTCTGAGGAACGTTGCCCGGGAGATGCACAAACCTGGTGGGCTAAAGTAGCCCAGAAAGGCTTTTTAGAGGGATAGCATGATGGATGGTATTGAAAGCCACTGAGGGATCCAGAAGAACTGACAAAGTCACACTCCCCATGTCCATCTCCCAGTGCAAGTAATTCAATAGGTAAACCAAGGCTGTTTCTGTGCCATAACTGGCCTAAACCCAGATTTGAAAAGATCCGGACAATCTGCTTCATCCAGGAAAGCTAGATCATAAACACAACAGGATCATGAACACAATAGGCCATTTGATTGTTGAATCAGACCCCTCCCTTCAGTTAAAATATATTTGGGAGGTTTTATGGGGAACAGGGCATAGGTACAAATTCAACTTCAAAAAAATAAAATGTGTTTTATAATGGGAGGAAGACTGAGACTGTATCCATGAAAACATGTAGCATGGACATCTGTCCAGGCCAAACCACAAGAAGATTTGTGGCTCTTTAATAAGGAACCAGTTTTTAAATGAAGGGCAAGGGGGAGAGAAAACTAACCATGGGAGACTACATCTTAAAAATGAGACAATTAATAACTGAGATAATTAATAGATTGCGTTGCATGAAAATCTACAGGTCTGGACACAGTCTGGGTGTGTATATAATTGTTCCCCTGTATAAGCAGCTTCTCAACCAAAACATAACTCTCATATTTCCAAGTAAAGCCAGTGGGACTACAGCAGGGTTGTGAGGTAAAACATGACTACTTTGCCAGATTTCTCGGGAATATTCATTTTGCTGTCATGTTACCTCTTATCTTCTGGCACTGGTAGCAAAGTAGAAGGCAGGCTTTTTTTTGGGATGAACATCTGCTACTGTAAATGTTTAGTATATACAAGTAAACTAAACTGTACATTTCTTGACGTTTCTGGATCGGGCTACTTGTATATTCAAATTAGTCCCACTGACATAATACAACTGTTCTGACGCTAGTTAAATTCTATAAAATTTTCAATATAATGAGAATGAGTGGTTATATCTGAACTATGTAAAGCACAAGATCAAGTTAAATCAGAATGTTATACTGAGTTTGCAAATAGGCTCTCTTCTTACAGTGAAATCCTATGCAGAGTTATACCCTAAGTCCACTGAAGTCAATATATTTAGCTACGATGGTGTAACTTTGTTTGGGGAGGGAAGGCTGCATAGTATCATCAGATCCAGGAAGCTAAGTAGGGTCAGTACTTGGAAAGGAGATTACAAGAAAAACTCTGCAGGGGAAGGTGATAACAAACCACCTCTGCTTCTCATTTGCCTTGAAAGCCCCTTGCCAGCGTTGCCATAAGTTGGCTGCAACCTGATGGCACTTTACACACATGCACACACAGCTCTGTTTGGATTGCACTGTTAGTCTGCCTGGGGACAATTTCTACTAACTCCAGAAACTTCCATTCTTTTAAGTAATGTTAGCTAATTCACTGCATTGATTATAGGCACCCTCTACTACTCTGCATTTGCTCCTGAGAGGGACTAAATTTTTTGCTAATGACTGTTGAAATATGACTTTTATAATAAGTTATGTAGATGTTAGTAAATGCTTTCTGTTTTTTATTTTATTTTAATACAATTACAGCTTAAATTCAAACCAACTCGTCCCTGGAATACTTTTCATGCCAAAAGATGCTTTAAAGCCAGAAGTATTTGAGATCTTTTTTAAAAAAGCTGTACATACTTCTGTTTTGACCACATTGTTAAAAAAAAAACCTTAAGAAAAGAAACATAGTTTAAATAGTTTTTGACACAGCTAAGCAGTTTTGTCCTAATAAGGATTGGAATAATACAATCTACAGATGGCAAATCTAGGCTTCTGTCTCCCACAAAACGTAGTTTTAGTGATATGCTATTTCAGTACTAGGAGGTAAAATGCTACTGATAACACTATAACACAGAGTGTGTTTGATCAGAGATCAGTCAGTCGAAGGTACTGTTGCTCAGGGTCTTTCCTGTGTTCACAGGATGGCAGAACCCACATGGACCAGCTATGTAGGAGGGGGGCTCCACTGAGAAGGGAGAGAAAATACCCTCTGGCCTCTTATGAGAGTGAAGTTAGTGTCAACAGATGACAGGGAACAACCCAGTGTGTGTGTGTGTGTGTGTGTGTGTATGTGTGTGTGTGTCTTTTTCCTTATGGAATTGATTTTAAGTGTATTACAAATCAAGGCAAGGGGGGAAAAACTGGATGGCTTGAAAGCAACAATCCTGTCTTCGACTAATGAAGGCCAGCACAACATAAGGTCCAAAGGCCCACTTGCTGTTTATTTGCAGTACCCTAGGATAATTCCAGATACTTATCTTTGCAGTTCTTTCTGTATCATTGGGGAATAGCTACATTCTACCCATGTATCACCAGTGAGCTTCTATTTTTGTCCCCCGTCCCCCCCCCGAAGTGGGACCATCATGTCTTTGCTTCACTACTTACATTCAATTTTCTCTGCATGAGCCAGTAAGTAAGTTTTGCTCATGACTACAACAAAGGCTGTAAAGCAAGTAAAGTGAGAGGGACCATGCCTACCTAGTATAATCACAAAAGGCAGTTGTATGCTCATGTCATAATGGCTAAAGCCTTACTTTTGCTAATTCCAGTTTGTGCACTGGAGCACACTAAAGTTCTATGTCCTTTAGAAATCTAAGGGGCTTAACATTTAGCTACAAGCTTAAGCTGCCATTGATGGGGCTTAACCATGCTTAACTTTCTCAAGAAGGTCTCCCCATGAGCCAGCAGCAGTATCCTTGTTGTGACAAAGATGAACTACAGTTTCTATAGTAACAGGGACATTCTAACAACCATCTCTGTCTTTCTGAGCATTTGAAAATGACTAAAACAGCTCTATCCCAATACACTTATAAAATAAGAGATTGTGTGAATGGCAGTTAGGACTTTTGGCCACTGTGCTGGGGTTCTCCTATTTACAGCAAATTCAGAGCATGTATACTTTGTAATATCATATGTAGATACACATGATATTAAAGGAGAATGCTTTTACCTTCTTGCCCTGCCTATGTACAGCTCACGGGGACCAGGCTAGGCACTGTTTTGTAGAAAATGCTAAACTAGAAGGGCCCTAGTATGATTCAGCAAGGCAATTCTTATTTCTTATTCAAGTCTCCAGCCCAAACACCTATCCTGGCTTGTGATCCGTTAATGAGCTAGGTATTTGTAGAAGCCTTCAGAAGGACTTCAGAAGATCAGAAACAGAGGAGTTTTCTAAATAATTAAATAATAAAGAACCCTAAAGAAGAAGAAAAAAGGCTCTAACTATTGAAAAACACCTTCAAGAAGAAGGGGGGGTGGGGTGAGAAATGGCTTGAAGACTGATACACAGATCATGCAATCACTGATGCACAAGACTGGCTTCTGCTGCCACCGGGGAAAGGGGGAAATTTGACAGTAAGCTTTATACAGGTAAAGCCTATGTGTAGTCCCAAAAATGGTGAGTAAGCTTTTGTAGTAGATTCACTCCTGAAATGATATATATATATATATGCACATACCCAAAGTTACATATTAATTTTTAAGAGATCCAATACTCAAGTTTTATACGTTTAACACACATTGGTAGACCAAGTTCACATTGGGTGCCTGGTAATCTTGAAACGGATAGGATTGGTGTACAAGGACTAATGCACTGTCACGCTAGCCATGCAGTTGATACCCTGCATAGTAACTATTTCTTCTGTAGCTTGCAAGGAACCTGTGACATATGAGCAGATGTGAGAAGTTGACTAGTCAGATTTTTTTGAGCTGGTTTGCTAGCAGCTTAGATGTATGGATAAAGAGACTGAGTTATTTGCACTTGTGCACATTACCTTTATTACACAAATTATTAAGAACCCTATCAACCAATTATTTAAATTTTATGGTTTTTTAAAAGCAAATTAAAATTTGGGAAGTCAGTGTCAATATAACATATTATTCTAAACTTCAAGGTTACAAATTTCTACACAGGCTGAAAAAATCCTCAGAAATTTCCCACAATGTATTGTCTTGCACATTTAAACATTGCTCAGAGGAATGCAAATATTCTGCAACCATCTTATAGAAATATCAACGTGCTGAATAAAATAATAGCAACTTACAGTTTCTTTAAAGGAAGAATTTAGCCAGTGGTTGTTAACCACATTCTGTATAGACATAGGTGGATTTTCTAAATCTTCAAATGAATCCATAAATATAAAGTCCAGAACAACATCATAGAAATTTAAATGCTTCACCTGTATTAGGTTCACAATAGCTGAAGTTACTGAACATGTTTGCAGAATTAATTAAATAATAACAAAATAGTCTGATCTCTACAATAAATTCCAGGTGGTCTTGGTTTTAAATAAATTGTTTAATTAAACTAATGCAAAGATACCGTAGTGGTGAACTAATTAAAGAACAATAAGGAAACTGCAATTTCATACACACAGTAAAATTAACAGTTAACAATTTCAAACAATCACAAACAACTTAAGAGATTTGGAAGAGCAGCATACACTTACTCCCCAAGCAGCAAGCTCCATTTCAGTATTAGACCAGTGATCTGCTTGCTCTAAAAAAGAAATCATCTCATCAAAGACTTCCTCAAACTTCTTTGGATTCTGTGAAGACAGGCCAAGAAGTAGCATGAGAATTAAGCATGACTCCATTTAAAAACTAATTGTTTTGAATTAATTGTTTTGAACTTGAACTAATTGCTTTGAATTGAAACAGGAAAAGACGCATAATAAATAATCTGGAAACTGAATATCTGGCTCCAATTTAAACTCCTCTGTGCACTCTGATAAGAACATGAAGTTCCTATGTAGGTATCTCATCCAATTTAAGGTTAAATGCAATTCTCTGCATACTACAGATATGGGCAAACAGAGCTGTCACAGGGATAGAAGTTAATGTGGAGGTCCATGCAAAGAGTCCTTGGTTTGGGACAATTAGCTTTAATTTCTGACTGATTATAACATCAATATTTGCATGTAATTCATACCCATAAACAGACAAGGAACATGGTTACCTACCACACAGGGACCTGCTAGGTAGTCCTAACTAGAGGTATGAAGACCAGGATGACTACTGAAAAGTTTCAGGGTGGGTTGCATTATGGTAGATTCCCAAGCTCCCAGAGCTCCTCGGCAATGCTCCCTCTAAGCTATGGAGTCTTGTGAGCAGAAATTCTACTTTGTGAGCTACTGGCATTAAAGTTGTGAGTGAGCGATTTGGCTACTCCATAAATTAGTTTGCTCTGGAGCCAACCTTCCTGAGCTGAGACAAAAACGTGTGAGCCGGAGGCTAAAAAGCTGTGAGCTAGCTCACACTAACTCAGCTTAGAGGGAACACTGCCCCCCATATTTTCCCCCAACAGCGTCAACGTTTTTGTAATTTTTACATCTCTAGTCTTAACTAGCTTTCAGCCTCACTTACTGATTTATCTGCAAAATAGTGCTGTATATTTCCTGCCAATTGGGATTGTTCTGAGCACCGCTAGGATAGTAAAACACTTTGCATATTAAACATCCCATATATAGCCCAATAAGAAAACAAGTTTACCTTTCTTGCTCTCAGAATTAAAGCAGACAGAATTTTTCTTCCACTTTCCACAAGAAATAATCTATTGGCAGTATCCGAAAGAATTACCTGGAAAGAATCACCAGATGTTATAAAGCTAGAAATGTTTTAAAAACAGATTAACTAAAGCAATGTTTTATTATAATGTATTACATATTAATAATGCAAACAGAGCAAGATCATTCATTAAAGGCAACTATCCTGAATGCCTGCACACGAGGGCATATAGAAAACTTGTTTGTTCAAGAAAAATGTGGGCATGTGTGCTGATGGCACTTGCAAATCTTATCTTAATAGACAAGCTTCCACTAACGTATAACATGAAAAAAAATCCTTAGGAAGAAGGATTTATACTGATGTGCCCAGATGTGAATATGCTACGCACAATTGTTTTGGAAAAACACTACTCTATTTTTGCAAAGCAGACAGTGGGGCATTACAGATTTGATGTAATTGGCAATTATTATAAAGCCACTGTATTCTGAAGGAAGGTGTCCACTAAACCAAGTTGCTAAGGACAAGTTCCATAGACTTGGATAGCAATGATCTGTTCTTTGAGTTTTCACATGTCTCACTGAGCTTTAGAGCAGATAGAACAGCACAAGTCTCTTTTGCCACTTGTACCTACTCCTAAGTTCAGCACAACATGAGGAATTCATCTGCACCTTCCCTGAACTTTCTGTGTGTACTTCAGATCCTAGGGGAAGACTGAAGATGTCTCATACCACACTGGACTGTGGAGCAGGTAGAAGCAGTCCCTTGTGATGCTTCTGCTCCTCAGTATGAAATTGGAGAACTCCGAGAGAAAAAAGCTATGTGCAGGCCATGGTAGGGGGGGGAATTTCCTCTGGCAACCTGAACTGCCATTCCTAACAAATATGTTAGATTTCTGAATAGCAATGTCTAAAATCTTAGAGCAACATGAGATAAACCTTTCCCCAAGTCCTTTATGCATGCTGCATAGGACACTGGAAGAGAAGAGTTGGTGGCAATGTGGTGCTTCTAAAGTCTGGAGGGCTCATACTCAAGCTCACAGCTTCACCTAAGTGTAAGCCAACCTTGTAATAGGCTCACCCTCTCTAACTGGTCTTCATTTTCCTAAGTTGAGGAACAAACTGGCAGCAAAGGGTTGTTCAACAGTGGATGCCTTGTTGGGCTTATCCTTAAAATGTGGACACAACTAAGCATGTTTAGAAGTATTTATTAACATAAGAAGAGCCCTGCATCAGACCAGTCCATTCTAGTCTAGCATTGTGTCTTACACAGTGGCCAACCAGTTACTGTGGAAGGCCAACAACAGGGTATAGAAGCAGAGGCCTTCTTGTGATGTTGTATCCTGGCACTGGTATTCAGAGGTTTATTTCTTCTAAGATAGTTTATTTTTTCAGAGATGCATCAGAGTATTGTTTCATGTACCACTTGGTCATTCAGAGGAGGCATTCAAATGACAATCCTTATGTATCCCAAAAGCAATAAATTCTCTTCAACTGCTACCTCAGGGTTTTCTGCCCAAGCTGCTCCATGCAATATGAGGTGTACACTCCAGGATCCCTCGTGGACATTGAACCTGGCATATAAAACAATCCTACAGCTAACCTCTTGGATTGTGTGTTTCTTCACTGTCCTACATAAAAATGTTGCTATTCCTGAAGAAACTACTTGTTTGCAGCTGGACTAGTTCCCAAATTCATTTAGCAACATAGTTCATGTGAGCGATGCTGAACCTCCAAATCCTAGTTTTCACTTTATGTAGTACATGGGTAAAGTGACATAAAAGAACAAAATACCCTCTGACAACTAAGCTTTACCTGAAAAGCTTGTCGGATACAATGGAGTTTAGCAAGAAAATCGCTGTCCCCCAGACACTCCAACATTTCAGTCCTATGCACGATGGAATAAAGATCTGAATCAGAGGCAGTCTTACATTTTAGTATGAGCAAGGCTAGAAATTGTTCTTCAAAGGCTATGTTTCAGAAATTGAATAATAATTATTATAAAAGATTATAATATGTAGTACCTTAAGACTCGAGAATAAATCTTGCCCTCTTCTGCCAGCTGCATTGCTTCTTCATACAATGGGCAGTGGCAAAGGGAATCCAGATGGTAGCTGTTTCGACTCTCTTTGTGCTCTGCAAGCTAGAACAGTTTGTTCAAGGTTTATTGGCTAATTCCTTTAAAGACTATTACAAATATGGTAAGTGAGCAGTGGTATGGTATTGCTCTGAAAGGCATCTTCATTTCAATATCACTTAAGTTACAAGATCAAGACAAAAAATGTAAGAAAGACTATAGTATATATAGAATATTATTCTATTAATGCTTTCGTGGAAAACTTAGCATTCAACAGACAGAAGAGTAGGACATAGGTTTATCATTGAATCATAGCCCAGAGAAGTGGAAATATATTAGCCAACATTCATGTAATCCAAGATTACAGGGTAGGAGGTGGGGGAGACTGCATTATAAAGCTGTTGATTAACCCTAAACACATTTAGTATTTATCTTGCATAATTACATTAATATGTCCTTAATCCATCACCTTCTTACAATAAAATTTTTAAGATGCTACACAGATCATTAAAGAGAGACTGAGTAATAATAGAATCTTAAAAGAGTCTTCATTAGCTGAAAACACAACTGCTTTTGTGGCACATACCAGAAAAGCCAAGACATACAAGGAAGGGGAGATGATTCAGAAGCAATCTTCGAATTATATTTTACCAGTGGGGGGATTAAGAACAGGTGAAAGAGGAACTATACAATTTTAAGGCAGAACAATTTCAGTTCCTTGACAACAAAAAGAAAATCAAAATTTTCTATTCTGGAAAGGACTTTTTAAAATATACATAACAGTCATAATTCCAATGCCTTTTAGCCGTACAGTGTGGTTACAAGATACCTGGAAAGGTATGCACACCACTAAAGCAAGCATAGTTAAGGCAGTGCTGACAGAATAAGGATACTTCAAAGACAGTATCCCATGGAGACCAACTGCTGGCAGTTCAGTGTTTTCTTAGAGTTCGTAATCTGTGTCATTGAAGTGCTCTTCTAAAGTTCATATTCCAGATCCTCTAAACACACCAATCCTATTCCTTGCCATTTTAAAGAGTCAGTTATTGTGGCATTGGATACAAAAGGACCTTCTGCATGTAGAAGGCACTCTCACAAACTCAAGGAGGAATCCATGATTTGTAAAAGTATGATTTTGGGGAAAGGAAATATGCAAGAACTCAAAATTAATTTACTCTGGAGCAGAACATACCCATCTGATACACAGAGAAGAATCTTTCAATAATCTATACTAAACACACTGGCTGCAGTCCTAAACATACTTACCTGTAATTATCTTACAAATACAAGCTAAATTTATTTCCCAGTATATATGTTGGGACTGTGATTTTTCAGTGTCTCCAGAATAAAAGCATTTGAGGCCTCCCCCCAATAAAAGTAGTCTTGTTCTTAAAAGAAACTAAGAAACTGGTTCCTTGGCCTTCTAGAGGTAGCTGACCTGCTCTTTCTAGAGCTATTTGCCTAAATGTGCAGAGTAATGTGTGCCTGGGATAAGTAGCCCAACAAATGGAAAAGTGTACCATTATGTCTGTTGTAGGGAACCATGGGTTTTGCCTTCTGCCACTAAATTTGTATCTTCAATCATTTATGTGATTGATCATGCCGAGATGCACACAGTAAACATTCAAAAACCAGCTGCCTATCCAAGATTCCGACTACAAACTAAATTGTTCTCCTTGATCTAAGTTTACTTGGGTGAAATCTGACAAATTTCTGCAAAGCTGAAAGGGTCTTACTTTTGCCCAAGAAACAAGAAAGGAACTGCATCTTCTACCACATCCCTCACCAGCAAATAAATCCAGGCTTTGACGTTACTATTCTATGTGGCATCACACAAAGCTATACCAGATTTACGATTGCTCCATCAGTGAAGGCTACAATTTGTGCTCTGGATTCTTGGCCATCCTGGCTTCTAAAATCATGTAAAGATCACATCACCTAATCCTTGGTATAGATCAATCATTAACTCAGGGCACCTTCCCTTGATCACTCAAAGAAGCCATTAGCCATCCTCTACTAACCCCCCCCCATCCCTGTTTTTGGTTTGGTGGTGGGATGTAGCCAATTATTGCCCTGTCTCTAATCTGCCCTTCCTACAGGAAGTTATTGAGAGGGTAGGAGCAGACCAACTCCAGATCTTCTTGGATAACCCATCTACTCTAGACCTTTTCAGTCTGGTTCCAGACTGGGCTATGGGATGGAGATGGCTCTGCTAGCTTTAGTTGATGACCTCTGTCTAAACATAGACAAAGGTTAGACCTCCAAGTTGTTCCTACTGGATTTATCTGCTGCCTTTGACACAGTGAACCATACTATCTTGTTGGGAGTGGCTGGAGGCAGAAGCAGGCATCAGGGTTGTCCATTGGACTGGTTCAAATAATTCCTCATGGAACAGACACAAAGAATTTCCATTGGAGACCAGTTATCATCAGTGTGGGACCTATTCTGTGGAGTCTCACAAGGTGTAATGTTCTTACCTTTACTGGTATTATAAAAAGGAGAACATTAAACAAATACATAAGAAGAGAAGAAGAAGAAGAGATAGGATTTATTCCCCGACCTTCACTTGGGAGTCTCAGAGCGGCTTACAAACTCCTTTCCCTCCCCCTCCCCACAACAGACACCCTGTGAGGTAGGTGGGGCTGAGAGAAGTCTTGACAGAAACTGCTCTTTTTCAAGGACAGCTGTGCCAAAGCTTGTGATTGACCCAAGGTCACATCTGCAGGTGCAAGTGGAGGAGTGGGGAATCAAACCCGGTTCTCCCAGATTAGAGTCCGCACACTTAACCACTACACCAAACTGGCGAACTAAACATAAAATTCCCCATGCTCTTCAATCTTTATGTAAAACCCTTAGACCAAATCAATAGAAATTTTCGGGTTGGCTGTCATCAATATGCAGGTGACATAGCACAGGTCTAATTCGCTGTCTGGCTGCTATGGCGACATGGCTAAGAGTGAACAAATTGAAACCAAATCCTGGAATGACAGAGGTAATGCTGGTTGGGAAGGCAAAGTCCTTGAAGGACATTATGCTCCCCACTTTAAGTGGGGTCCAGCTAACCCTGACTCAGTTAAGAACCTCGGGGTTATACTTGGACTCACCATTATTGCTGGAGAAGCAAGTTAATGCAGTTACAAAAAAGGTTTTTTTCCCAACACAGCATAGCTCAATATATGGCTCCTTACCTTGAATTGGCTGATCCGGCCAAATGGATCCATGCCATGGTGACACTGAGACTAGAGTACTACAATGCACTGTACATTGGTCTCCTGTCAAAAAAGATTTGGAAACTCCATTTGGTGCAGAATGCTGCAACTTAGCTATTATGAGGAGCTAGATGGAGCATGCATATTACTCCCATTCTGCTGCCACTCCACTGGCTGCCCATCAGTTAGCAGACTCAACATCCATCATGGAAATTGGGTGTACACATACAAGTCTTATGTATATAGGGTCTGTGTGTCAGAGAAATCTCATATGCAGTACTACATCTAAGTAGGCACCCCCAACAAGCTGTTATGGTTCATGGTGGCAAAGGCAGCACATAAATTCAATAGGAGCAACAAGGACCCCTGACCTTTGTCTGTGTTTAAACATGGCCTTGGACCCTCATATCTGTGATCCTGTCTCTCCCCTAAACTCCACAACGACAGCTTCATTCATCTGAGCAGGGCCTTCTGCAGGTGCCAACCTGCAAATCGGCAAAATCAACCACTGCCTATACACGTGCATTCTTTATTGTGGCCCCCACTTTACAGAACAGTCTCTCTGAGAAGGTCAGGAAGGCTCCCACTCTCCCAGCTTTCTGCAAACGATGCAAAACTAAATTATTCAAGAGAGCTTTCCAAGCAGGAAACAGGGTAGCACTGTACAAAATAATTCACATAGTTACTTGGACAAATTATTAGGGACTGTGGTCTGTACTACTGTGTATACCTTGCTGTAAATTGGATGCTACTCTGTAATTTTTGCATAATTTAACATGTCATGTTAACATTTATTCTTTGCTTCAGTTCTGTCTTTTAGATTTCTGGTGGGTTCTACAATCCAAATCCTTTTTCATTGTTTATTGAATGTTCCATCCTGTTGATTATATTGACTCATTCTGTGAAATCTGCCTTAGGTTCCACTGAGAAAGGCAAACTATATATAATAAATATGTTCAAAAGCCACTACCAAGCCACTTACTATGTAAACTTGCACACATTTTTGTAAGACACCCTGTTGTATGAGAAGTTATTACTGCCCAGTAGAGACCACTGACTGAAAGAAAATTCTAGTTCAGAGGTCTGATTATGCAATAAAATAGCAAGTGCTCCTTCAACATACCTCCGCAGCTGAAACAAATGAATCTGTAGAGGCAATGCTTAATGTATCCCGCAGACTGAATTCATCTGTATTATCCTTCACAGTGATATCTGTGTCTTTATCTTAAAAGGGAGAAAAAGTTCATTACAATATATTTTGCATATTATACATAATCCCAGTTAATGGTGACTAATGAGTTACATTTGTTTATTTAGATATTTATGGAGAACAAAAGTAGCTTACGGCATCATTCTTCCCTCCTCCATTTTATCTTAACAATCCTGTGAGGTGAGTTAGACAGACAGAGGGGGGTGGGGCCTACAGCAGAGTGGTGATTTGAATTTGGGCCTCCCAGATCCTAGACCAACACTCTAACCAGTACACCACACTGGTTAATTATTCATTTTTTCCCTGCCCTATCTGAAGGGCTCAGGGTAGGTTATGGCATGCTTTATTTCAAGTGATCAAGTGATCACCCAATGACATTTTAAAAAGAAGCTAGCCTAATACTAACCTTGCAGAACTTACTACGCGTGGTAGGGTTACCAGATGTGGAGAATGACTTTCTTGCTGCAGCCCAGAATGTTTACTAAAATCCTGTTCCTGGAGGACAGGGGACACCCAGAAAAACATGGGGGGGGGGGGGATTCCCCACCCTGTAGGGACAGATCTGTTTGACAGAATCAATTTCAGTGTGTAGGTCTGCAGAGGGGGCGGGATGGGGAAAATTATGCTCCCTTCTCTGCCACAGGGAAGTGCCCTTCTGTTGATAGTTGATAACCATTGGCTACAACTCATGTAAAAAATTATAAGAGGCATTAAATTTTAAAATTATTTTTTCTAATAATTTTAGGCCAACATTTAAAATAAAAACAAAATTACTGAAACAAAATTCAAAACCTTTGAAATGGAAAAAAACTTTTTATGCAGCCTACAGTAGTAACATTAACATGAAACTTTGACAGTAAACTCATTAAAATAAATGTATTAATTCATTACGCATTCTGGAAACTGGACTGGACCTAAGTTGATTGCAAAAAGTCATTCAAAATGTTCAACTACTTCATAAGTAACAGTGTGAACTTTAGCTGAATGCATAAGAATACATCACATTCCAAAGAATTGGTATTTTTAGGATTATTGATTTTAATTCCATCTATGAAATGAAATATAAAATTATTCCTTGAGATTTCATGGCTTAGATATGACCAATAGCAAATGGATAGGAGTTTATATAAGATCTTTGCTGCTTTCCATTGCTACAGCCTTTTGAATCCCACACCATTCCCAAGGATCCCCCAACATTGAGCATATATGGATTTATTTTACAGATTCAATTCTTGTATCAAAACTTGGTATTAAAGTATATTTTTAATCAGAATCATTCACTTTTCCAGAGGGTTGCCATATACTTGGTTGCTCCAGTCATCCTCCTACCCCTGCCCTCAGTCCTCTACCCTTGTTCATTGTAGAAGTGGGAGGAAAAATTGGAAGGACAGCACTGGCAGTGATGCTTTAGGAATTTCCCCCAATCTGTACAGTAAAGACCACTGTGACGTTCTTGTTTATTGGGGAGACGGTTTTACCTTTAAACACGCTTTGTGTACCTAAACTTGGTAGATTTCTGCTGCCACCAGGAAAGAAAGCAAATAGGGGAGGGAGGGGAAAAGAGAGAGAGGTGGAAAGAGAGCAAATAAACGGGGAGAAAAGGAGGGAGGGAGGGATGAAGGGAGAAGCTGAAAGAAAGCAACTTTAAAAGTGTTCTCCAAATCCCTCCACACCCCCACGCCAGCCAGCTTGGATTGGATAAGAGATTTAAGGAGACAAATGTCTTCACCAAGCTGGCCGGCCCGGGGGGGGGGGGGTTTATTTATTTATTTTTAGTCAAATTTATACCCCATTTATACCCCACCCTCCCCGCAAAGCAGGCTCAAGGCAGAATGCATTTAAAGTTGCTTGCTTTCTCTGCTCCCCGCCACACCTCAAGCCTACCCAGGGAGGGGAATACTGGCTGGGGAAGGGAAGACCGATTGGGGAGGCATGCCTCCCCTTCGCTTTCCCAGCTGCCTTGTCAGGAGCCACACAATATGTGTGAAAGAGCCGCATGTGGCTCCCGAGCCACAGTTTGGCCACCCCTGTGCTAGACCCATGCCAGGTAGGGGTGATGGTGCACTTCGATGGTATAAATCAGCTGCTCCTAGCACTAATTAATATAAATAGTGCCATGGAGCAACTGAAAGCAGGAGGGGCCGATGTGATTTGATGTCTGCTGCCTCAACTAAAGGCTTGGTGGAATAGCTCCATTTTACAGGTGCTGCAGAATTGCAGCAAATCCCGCAGGGCTTTAACTCAATTGGGAGCATATTCCACCAGGCCAGAGCAGAAAAGGCCCTGGTTCTGGTCGAGGCAAGGTGGACATGTTTTGGGCCAGGGACCACTAAACAGTGCTAGTCCGAAGAGTGCAAGGCTCTTTAGGGAACATATGGGAAGAGACGGTCCCGCAGGTATGCTGGTCCCTAGCCACGTAAGGCTTTAAAGGCCTTGAATCTGACTCAGTACTCAACCGGCAACCAATGCAGCTGGCAAAGCACTGGCTGAACGTGCGTGTGCACAGACATCCCAGTCAGCAGGCACACTGCTGCATTTTGTACCAGCTGAAGCTTCTGGATCAGGTTCAAAGGTAGGCCTGCGTAGAGCGAGTTGCAGTAGTCAAGCCTAGAAGTGACCATTGCATGGATCACCATCACCAAGTCCTGGGAAGAAAGGGTAGGGAGCCAGCTGTCTGACCAGCTGAAGATGATAAAAGGCTGACCTAGCAACTTTGGTGACCTGGGCCTCCATAAAAAGGGAGACATCCAGAATCACCCGCAGACTGTAGCACTGTATCACCTAATCAAAAGGTTACATATGGATCACTCTTACGAATTTGTATTTTTAGGATTATTGGAACCTGGGGAGCATTTAATGGTATAACTCCTGGGAATATTATGTGTGCTTTGGCTACTGTAAAAATCTAAGACCACTGCTCTAAGAAAAGAAAGTGAGAGGCTATGAAAGGTAGATAGTTCCTCCTCATTCAAGTTCTAGGGCCATTTTAGATTGCATTCCTACAATTCAAGGAAGATAAGGCCATATTCAAACAAGCATATACCTAGAAAATACACAGCATGACCACATAGTGTTACGGAAAAATGGCACAACTTTCCAAAGCTCTGATGTGTGGGGACCTTCAAGAAAGGACTGCAAACATCATGCTTGTTTCTAGCTTACAGCCTTTACTTATATTCTTGTTTCTATGCTTAATTCTGTGCAGCAGATATAATCAACCTAAATTTGCAATTTAGGTAGAAAAATTCATGAAGGTGATAGAAACTAGCTAACTAAACTTATGACAAGGTTTTGGCAGAGTTCAAATAAGAGACCCATTCAAAGAGGGGGAAACAAAGGTGAGACTAACATTTTAAAGTATCTACGACTATAAACTCCAGTTTACAATGCAACTTTTCGCCAAACTCAGTGACAAGTGCTGGGCAGAAAACTATTAATTAAAGGTATATATATATATATATATGAAACAAATGTTTAGGACAGCTTTAGATTGGAGACTCCAGCACAATGAAAGCCCTAGGAATGCACAGCTGCTTGATCCACATGGCTGCCCTTGGCAGCCAGTCCCAGATTCTCATGCAGTGCAGGGCCTTACAGCATGAAATGTTACTTTATATGCTTTCAGCATACATATTTTTAGAAGTTCTTTACTTTCGCCTACTCAGGTAGTAGATTTCCTAAAGCAGAATCATTAGAAAGACAATTTAAGACAATTGCAAAATAATAACAAGTAGGATTATTTCCATTTCAATACGGAGAGAGCTACTGGGCATATCTTCAACATATATCCAACTGCTAAATACATTTCAGTAATTACTGAAAAATAGAACAGTTTACTTATTATTATTATTATTTTATTGGTTCAATTTGTACCCCGCCCTCCCCGCAAAGCAGGCTCAGGGCGGCTCACATCAGTCAAAACATAGCTGACACATAAGTAACAATTAAAATCCACATAAAAACATTTAAAACAATTCAGTTATACAGTAAAGTTCATAAAGTGCTGGTGATAGTCAATTAACCTCTAGCATATGAGAAAGAGTGACTACAGGAGCAAGTGTTAAAAATAAGTGTGTGTTTTTTTTCTCCCCAAGTACTATTGGCAACCAACAGCTGACTGTTCATTTATACAAGTAGTAAAACTGCATTCTTCAAATAATGGCTTCTGAGGACTAAAAATTATCCTTGTAGGCATCCCTGAAGAGATAATCAATGAATTGGTTAAAAAAGGCTGGTGTTCCAGCAACTGATGTAAAACTGGACAAGTAGCTACAACACAAATGTAGCCAAGGTATCATTACCAGATGTATTATCAGTATACCTAGTATTCCAAGAGCTTCCTTGATTTTATTTCCATTTAAAGCACACCTTATTTCACTGAACTCTTCACTGAACTCAATTCAATGTTTCTTTAAAACACATACAAACTTTGGGTCATAGATCCAGCGCATTCATTGGGATGACTCTCCTCTATAGCTTCCACAGTTGGTTCATCCTTTATGATGGGCAGAGATAGTAAAAAAGAGCATACTCAACACAGTGTCATGCTGACACATCAACACATGAGCATTCTCAGGAAGCATGCTTATTTAAAGAAGCCCTTCTGCTACTTGCACACCATTCAAGGATAGCATCACCTTCTACAGAAAAGCACCTTTAAAATATCTGAACAAACAGTTCTATCTACTCTTCATAATCTTTACTGCAATCAAAACAGCCAGACAGATCACTGTTTCCAACCCACCTGTTCCCAACAGCCAGCCCACACTTTGGCACAGCACAACACTGGGCTCTGTGCCAGGCCATTCCCAGTCCTCTCCAGACTATGTTGGAAGCTCACAATGGCCACTGTCTGCCATCTCCTGGACCAAAGTGAGATGCTGGGGCTCCCTGAAAGGGTTCACCAGAATAAATGGAGTGGGAATCCACCATCTTTCTATGTTCTTGTACATTTTGGCTCTAACTGTCTCTGCCCCAATGTGCAGAAACCATGTTACTTACCTGTTCCAACCAC